GTCTTTTACTTTTGTGGTGGTGAAGGGAGGACCAATATTTTTGAGTTGAGACTTAAGTCAAGGCAAGAGGAGCCCATACTAATTAAGTTAACTCAAATCTGCATTTCTTCTCTTCTCCCACTTATAAGGGAATTTTCTAATAAATGATATTCATCTGCAGAGCATGCTTGCTCGCAAAATGTTGGAATTCCAACTCAGAAGGCTTGGTGTTTTTGATGCTGAAGAAGCTATTAGCACACACCCCAACCTTGATGAGAGCTTCAAAATCTGTGAGTAGTTTTTGATAATCTGTATTTTAATATTCTCCTGAAGAATAGATGTTGCTTCATCGGCATTTACAGCAGAAGATATTTGTACTTCAATGGTTTTCAGGGGAGCACCTTTTTATATTTCGGCGTTTACAGGTTCTTGTTTTGTCTCCTTTTTAACTTCATATCGTTTGAATGCAGTGTGGGCCAACCATGGGGATGATATAAGCTTACAGTATTCTGGTACTCCAGCCCTAAAGGGTGATTTTGTCAGGTACAACTTTTCTCTTTTATCATTCTAAAGATGTCCCTTTCTTATTCTGCTGAAATGTGTAGATGTTATTTATAGGAGGGATGAAACCACCAAGCACCAATTTTGTGCTGCTATACTTTCAGATGATAGACATATTTTGGTTCTGCATATATGCTGTTCTCGGGATGCATGTAGTTGAACCTGAATTCATGCATATGGATAAAGGAGGAGAGTCGCGATAGGTTGACAGCGCAACATAAAACTTGCCAATTCATGATTAATCCTCATAATACCCCCAACTTGTTTGGGACTCAGGCGTAGTAGTAGTAGTAGTTGTTGTTGTTGTTGGTGGTGGTGGTGGTGTTGGCGTTAGCAATATTGTCCCCAATTAGGTTTGTTTTTGAAATTTCAGTAATATTATCTGAAAAAAGGCTAATTCATCCTTGAAGGAGTATAAGTTCCTATGCTGTAGAGCTGATGGTTTCTTTTATTCAATATTTCAAAGCATTATCTTGGGGTTTAACACTTCTGTGTGCATGTACTTTCATCAATAATCTTGAAACTCTACAATTCTGAACCCAAGTTTTTGATCACCTATCATCGTCATGACTGCACTTTAACATGGCTATGGGTATGCAGATATGGTAAGAGAACAGTCCAGGGGATTGTCAATGATGGATGGAATGCCCTAATGCGATACTACTTGAACAACTTTGTTGATGGTACAAAACAGGTATTGCTGCTTCATACATGAATTCATACCTGCAATTAGTTACTTCATGTTACTAGGCGTACCTCCTTTTGTACCACCCTGTACTATGTGTTCATGTGAAAAATTGAACAATCATTCGTTGAATGATATTGAAATCATGTATCTGGGCTTATCTGGAATGTAACGGGTTGCGGTTATGCATTGATTAGTGTCTCGCTAGTCACATGTTTTCATTGTGATTTATTGATATTTGATGAATGAGTTTCTTTTTAATAACCACTAAGGAGATGATAGGATTAAGAATGTACAATCTGTTATATGAATCAGTAACTAGTTTGATTGGGTGCACATTCACTTGAGTTCAATTTTATACTTCTCTCATGTCTATTTTAACACTGGCATTTTATTTCCTGCTTACGCTTTCTGAAGGATGCAATCGATCTAATGCAAGGACATTACATTATGTCTGTTTCCCGAGATATGACTGCGACATCACAAAAAGGAGGCATCGAGGCTATAGCTGTGAGTTTATTGATATTCTTACCATATCAACTTTTTCTTGCTCCTGTTTATCAGATTTCACTGAGTAGCTGTTGTTGGAATAACAAATTCTGCATTCTTTGGTAACTTTATAAAGTTACAGTATTTGACTGAATTTGATATTTCATGTTCTTGACTGTGATCCTCTTTGTGCCTGAGGTCGAGCTCGGGGACAAAGCAAAGAAAGTTATACATGACATATCTTAAAATTAGGAGAATAACAAGTAGTTAAAACAATACAGAATAGCATCCTGAGTTAGCATGGGTATGACATTAATTAGTGAATCTCTCGTGTGAAGGTGATCCATCACGCTTATGCTCTTGCAAATACCCCAACAAGTCACTAATCTGGTGCAAGTACATGCTATGATCTTGAATGAACTATACTAACTAAATTGGGTTTACTTGCCAAAAACTGCTCTAGACTATTAATGTGGATGTTTCACTGCCAAAGTTGATGAGAGCGTGAACTACCATTTATGCATTGAAGAGATTATTTATTATTTTGTGCTGAAGCAATTTATAAAGCACAGGATGGGACAGGTGAAATCAAAGTGCATTACTTCAGTGCTGCTGCAAGTACATGAGAAAAATGATCAAAAGAGCCGTTCGTTCTGGAGAATTGGGTTTAGGTCGTAATGCAATACTATTTAACAGGGGATTCACCCTATATTGCTCAGATCCTTCAAAATCCTTGCCACACTCCTGTCAATCAACACGATTTGGGTGTGGGTGTAGGATCCGCACTAGATTAAGTCAACCTAACTCGGGTGATATGACTACACCTATGGCCAAGAAGTATTAGGTTGATAGGGTATTAGTTTTTGATTTTGGATTTTGGATTTGTCATATATATATATATTACACATAAAATTACTAGAGCACTTTGCTATTATACGATAATATTAAGTGTTTACAAAGAATTTAATTATACTAGATTTAATTTAATAACTTCAATTAATTGTTGAATTTATACTTATATAATCGTAATATACCTTTACTGACTGCATCTTAACATCCTTACTCTCCTGAACGTATCCCGGAATCCTAAGATTTAGGTGATGATGAATCTGTGTTCTAGATCCACACCTCTGTCGCATTCCCACACTGAATTCGAGCAACGTAGCATTCACCTCAAGTATATTCCACTTGTATCATTTCCAAGAATTGGTAAAGAAAGTGGGTTAAGCTATGTCTTCACTGAGCTCGCAAGTGCGAGGACAGGCAGTTGTTTAAAGTTTCTCCGTGAAGCCATTTATGATCTCAAACAAAAAGTAGACGTGCAGCTGAAATGAGAATTGTCAGTGGAGTATACCAGTATTTTAGGACAGCTGTATATGATAATACTCAAACTCACAATCGGAGTTCAAAGGTAAGAAATGTGTTTTTCACCAGCTGCATCATTAAGTGATTATGACCCACAGCCAGAACTGTATGCTAGGCGTATAATGAAGCAGAAACAAGAACATTGATTTCCTTAAAGCATGGCGTACTTGATATATCTGACTACTAGCTTATATGAATTATGTAACAATAATATTTGATCATCCAGAAGTTATAGTTGTAAAAAAGTTATGAACCCTGTTCTGCACTGCTAATTAGGTTGGCCTCGTTCAGTTCTTTTTGAGCTTAATTTGGTTCACCTAATTGGCCAAAGGACGATTGGCCTCTTCTGCTCAATGTCCTGATATACTAGTATGTTTTAAATAATATGTTATCTTTGTTCTTTATATATCTTCAGTTTTGTTATACTTTTTTGTTTTCTCCTCCTAACAATTATTGAGTCCAAATATGTGCTGGAATTTTATCAGACTTTGATGTTGTCAGTCATATAGTCTCACCTAACTATATAATCTTATATACATGCAGTCATTTCCTCTGGCCTTGGGACTGATTTTGACTGGGCTATTTTTTGCTACCTTGTCACTGGGGAGAGGTAAGTTGCCATACATGGAAAATTTTCTCTGATTCTGCTGTGTGATCACCAGTTCAGTTGCTTCTGGTCTAGCTTTGTTAACCTTTTCTTGGGAGGGGAGGGGAGGGGGAGGGGATGAAGCGTTTTATATGACCACCCCATTAGCTTTCTAGAGAAGATGATCCATGTGCTAGTTATATCTTGATCATGTTTTATATTCATGCCAGTTATCAATCATGACTTATCGTAATTAGTGTTAAAGGGCAAAATGAAACAGCATAAAGAGTGTATTTTTTTCCTTAATGCTGTATTTTCTTGATCTCTTCTGTTCTTTTCTCTGTGAATGTACAAAAGAGCAAGTGTGGTGGAGGAAATAGTTCTATACTTGGTAGTAAAGGATCTTTGCCAATGTATGCATGTAATTGGTCCAGTACAGCATTTGTGACAGTTCTTGATACTCATAAACCTTACACGCGCTTCTTGTTTTCTTCCACCTGCAGTTCGGAGTGATGTTTGGAACCTATTATTTTCACTGGTTTGGGCAAGCATAAGTTTGGCCATAGCTGCAGTTGTGAAGGCCAATGGTCGCATGTTCTGTAACAGGCCTCGCCTGCACCAATCTAGGCGTTGATTTACATGCTGGATTTTATTGTCATATTTGCTGAAGCTGCCAGCTTTTCTGGTTAACATATTCATTTACTATCTTATTCTTTGTAATGCCACATGCTATTACATTGGCTATACGAAAAATTATGCTTCTTTTATGTCATGGCAAGTTTGATCATTTCATTTCAGAGGGCTTAGTTACGAGGTGATTGTTTGTAGATTGAATTTTTGGTCATATAATACTTTGTGAAGTCATGTGAAAGAAATTTAATATTTGCTTCAACATAAACCAATGTAATTTCTGCAAGTGCTTTTCTGGTTCTCAAATTATGTTTGGTTAATTTCTGTTTGCACAAAACGATACTAGCCAAGTCTAGAAAGATTGAAGCTTCCATGCGACAATAAAATGTTAATGATTTTCTATATGAATATTAAAACAAATAAAGAAAATATGAGTAAACCTGATGTCCCAACAACAACCCATTCATTTTAAGATTGCGTCTGCACTGAATAAAAGGCAGTTAAATGAAAATAGAAAAGAAGAGGAGAGTAGCAACCTATCCTTTTAAGTCTAACAGACTATGATCCCAATTGAGAATTAAATAACTTATAGTATATTTATATTGAAAGCTGATTGATCATTTGGTGATAAAAGAATTCTATGCAAATAATATAAGTATTTTATATACATTTTGTGAGTGAGGTTATCCTAGCTGTACGGATACCTTCAACAGATGAAATCAGTTACAATCTTATAAGGTCAACCAATTATAGTACATTCATCCCATGCAATACAGAGGTGACAGACAATACAAAATTTGTTATCCAAAATAATGATTAACCATATTGAATTACAACAAAATCAATACAATTAAATCTATAAACAAACTCATTTTTCTTCAGCTCGCATTTGCCTTTCCCAGTTGTACCTGTCATCTTCCAGATCCGGCTCTGAATCCATGGTGGTTTGTACCACGTGGCGAAGGATGATTTCTCGGTGATTGCTTGTATCGATGAGATGAAGGCTCGGATTTGCTTTTGGAAGGTTTTGGTTTCTCCTTTATAGATTCAACTTGTTCCAATACTTCCACTACTTCTTTCATGGAAGGCCTGTTCTTAGGTTCCCCCTCGAGGCATTTTAAACTAAGCTGAGCAGCAACCAATGCCGCCTTTGAACTATATTGGCCTTCCATTCGGGCGTCCATGACGGACCTCAGCTTCCTTTTGTTAGAAAGCATTGGTTTCACCCAGTCAACCAAATTATGCTGTCCGTTAGGTCGTTTTGTGTCAAGTGCTCGTAAGCCTGTTAAAAGCTCAAGCAATACGACACCAAATCCGTACACATCACTTTTTACGTAGAGATGGCCTGTTAACATGACAAGAATCCTTGGATTAACATGTTATACTGAAAATGTTCTGTTATCTAGCTTTTTTGTTTCAAGATAGTCTCAGCACTCTGCCAGAGGCGTATGTAGGATTTTATATAAGCAGTGTCACCATTTTTAAATTTTTCAAAAAAGAGTTCTTGATTTTTGAGTTTTATTATCCTTAATTATGAAGTATTAGTCCATAATAGTATTTGCTTTCATTTTTACATTTTCTTGAAATTTTGCTGGAGGTGTATTTGCTTATACAATTGTGGTTAAAATGTTATTTTGAGGATCATATCTGTTAAGGAAAAAAAAAAAGCCAACATCAGCCCATTGGAGGAATGGAATACGCGACCGCTGGACTGGCAAACTCTGCCGGTCAAGTGGTGTCACTGTAAGATTATATCTACTCTTATTTCATTTCTTAATTATCAATTACATATTTATTTAATAAAATTTTCCGTGAAGCGGTGTCCCGTGACGCTGCTTCAGGCAACGTGCTTCTGCCCCTGCACTCTGCTCAGTGGCAAATCAGGTAAAGCCAAAAAATTCTTGTACATCTTTAATTTCAATTTAAATGCATAACATATTGATGATCAAATTACTGCTAGTGGTTTAAAAAATGTGCATGTATACCTATGTCTATTTCATATGTGGATCTCAAGTCTAGTAAGGGGATAAGGGCGCATAAATAGTGCTCACCTGTAGCAATGTATTCAGGAGCAGCATAACCGTATGTGCCCATAACACGAGTAGTCACATGTGAGTTCCCAGCTGAAGGCCCCACTTTAGCTAAGCCAAAATCTGATAACTTTGCATGGTAATTCTACAAATAGAAAAGCAGAAAACCTTCAAAAGTTGGCCCCTATGCAGATGTACATTAAAGTTGGAAAGGAAGAAAAGTTACTGAAGAAGAAACATAGTTGCACTGCTTATCCTTTCAATTTAGTCCCATCGGAAAAGGAAAAACAATATGAAATGAGATGCAGTGATGTTCATGATATTGAATTGAACAGACATTCAAATTCAGAGTAATGTACACACACAGCCTCTCATAGAAATATTGGGCAACCATATGGAACGGGAATTCCTCGGAAAGCCAAAATATAATAAATGAATAATTTCAGGAATACAGCCGATTCTAGGTCTTGTTCATGTTTCAGTTATGTTAAAGATGAAGGAAAAAGAAAGAAAAAGCAATAAGGGATATGCACTAAGCTATAGAAAGATTCTCTGTACCCTTCAATCAATCACAAGCCTATACTCCAAACAGCAAAAAGAAAAACAATGTCAGTCAAACTACCACTGATCCTAATTACCCAGCTACTAACAAGACGCAGGCCCATTGGACATGCAACATCTACAAGTCAAATCCAGTGGCATATGCAACACTTTTTTTAATTACCAAGATCCCAGAGGGCCAGTGACACAATGTTCAGAACTCGGTAAATAAGCCCCCCCCCCCCCTGCCCCGTCTAATCTTCTCCGATTAAATACCACGCTTTTGTCTTCAGAAGGTTTGAACCCATGACGTGCGCCTAACCCAAATATCATGCCCTGCGCTCTTACCACTAGCCCAAAGCACTAAGGGGCCAAGGGCAATGGAATATGCATGATTTTGCACAAGCGATGTCTATTTATAGTCACTATTCAGTTTGTAGGTGGGTCTAGGTCTAGGATTGTGGTGGTTTTAAAAATTTACTTTGCACACCAAACGGATATGTATTACTTTACATTATTTTCAAGTAGCGTCGAGCTATTATACATATATATACATATTGTTCTTTAGAAATATTATTTACACATACATTTAGAAAAAATTGCTGCGAAACAGTGTCTGATGACACCCATTACTAAAGGGTGTCTCCGCCACTGGTCAAACCAATGTAGCAGTTGACGCTTCAATCTAGCCTTGCTTTGTCCTTATTCTCTTATTATCATGACATACTAGAAAACTGGCCTACCTAAATAAAGTACAAGTTAGCAAACCGTACCCCATCAAGCAGTATGTTGGAAGCCTTGAAATCTCTGTAAATGATCTGCTTTTCTGAAGAATGTAAAAAAGCTAAGCCTCGTGCAGCTCCTATGGCAATTTTGAGCCGCAATTCCCAAGAAAGTGGTTCAATAGCTGTACTCCCTGCAAAGTGGCATACCAGAGATCAGTGCACCATATCAATGTTTAGCTTGTTTCGGTTGAAAGTTGAAACTCTACCACAAAACTTCTTACTTCTGAAAAGATGGTTTTCCAAGCTTCCTTTCGGCATGAATTCATATACAAGTAACAGTTCCTTGTCTTCCCAACAATATCCCATCAATTTAACAAGGTTCGGGTGTGAAAGCCTTCCTAAGAAGTTTACTTCTGCCTGCATTTAATTAAACGATTAAGAGTGTTAAACAAAGTATCTAACTATGAATCACAAATAACATAGCAATGTAGAAGTTAGTTGATAAAACAACAACAACAACAAGAAGCCTAGTGTAATCCCACAAGTGGGATCTGGGGAGGGTAGTGTGTACGCAGACCTTACCAGTACCCTAAGAAAGTAGAAAGACTGTTTCCGATAGACCCTCGGATCAAAAAACAAAACAAGAAAACTGAAAAGTTCAAGTGACATTCCTGATATTGAAATAAGGATATATGAAGCCTAACTAAACAAACTACGTCTCTCTCTGAAAGCTAAAGGTACATCCATCTTAACTACAGGGATGGCAGTGGCAGATAACCTAATACACATGGAAATCGTTAATCTTGCTTCAATTTTTATCTCGAATATGAGTCAATTTTGTAAAAGACTGCTTTTTGTTCCTGAATTGACAGGATTTTGGATGTCCAGAGGCTGTATTCTTACTCTTCCACTCAATCAACTATCTATTTAATATGAAAAGAAATTTCATTTCAGTGTGCTAAGTTTGACCATAAGTTTGGAGAAGTCTTCAATATAATTTGGCAGATAGCTCTTATATTTTTCATGTCTCCTCACACAACAATTAACCTGAAGATTTCACTTAAATATTGGCCCACTGTACAGTTGTTGAAAATGTGGTTAGGAACAAGGTAACTTGAATTTACTACAGAATTATTTCAGCAACTAAAATCTTAAACACCTATAGATAAAATTGATGATTATTACAGGAAGCAGATATGTATAAATTTCTCAAAGTGTATGATTAGATAAGTAAGATGGGAAGTTTGACACATTATATCATATTGTTAACTCAATTTTGACAAGATAAGAAATTACTTATCACAAAATCTTTGTTTAATTACAAGCTACTGTCATTGTGGGAAGAAAATTGAAAAAATGGCTCAATGTTATATTATGACTGGCATCTCAAATAAGTGACATCAAATGTACAGCGAACCAGAGAATCAACGAAACTACAAAGTTTTTCTCATACCTTATCTGTTTGGTTGTGGTCTGAATGGAGAAATATGTACTCAAAACAAACCAATAGAAGACTTTATATTCGACAAGTAACTGTGTATAATCAGTATACTTATGTGAACTAGCAAGATAATGCTTACTTCCAGCTTGAAAACATGCAAATTAAGCAATTAGAATCCTACCAATAACTGATTCAAGACTGAATTGCATTTAAATAACTATAAAGAAGTCTCAGTACACACATATTTCTACTTTATTTGTTTATTCATTCAACTTCATCGAAGAGTCCATCCATGTAAGAGGCAATCCTAGTTTGCTAAAGATATGTTGTCTAACCATCGACTAGCCCATCTACCAACACCTTTTACTTGACTAAAGAACCAAAACTGAAAATGTATCATACATACTAGTACTATTTAACAAATAACTGGATACCCAAATTTTCAGCATATTTAACAACCACCGCCTCATAATTACCCCAAAATGGTCAGCAACAAAGTAGCAATACTGGCTTATGTGTTATTTGCATTCACAGGCATTTTCCTAGTTTGTTCAATGAGAGCTCTTTCTCCAACAGCAAAGGTCAAAGTATTGGCTTCTTCGCCAAATGAAATTCCAACATTGTGCAAAGAATAAAATGCTTTATAATTGTATCGAAACGTTTCATACCTGCCACTCTTCAAATCCCTGCATGCTCTCGGAGTTCAACTTTTTTATGGCAACAACCATTCCAGTGCCAACTTTAGTTGGAGTAAGAGTCTTCTCATCGACCCAGCCTTTGAATACCGTCCCAAAACCGCCGACCCCCAAAACCGTATCAGACTTGAAATTTCTTGTGGCAGCCTTGAGATCAGAAAAACTATATGTCTTCAAATTTGGAGTAGGCAATATTTCTCCATTGAAATATGAGTCCTCGCTCGCGGTAGCTGAAAAACGGCTATGCCCAGTACTGCTGCTAGTTGAAAATGCAACACCACTGTTCTTTGATGTATCTACAGAAAAAGTACTTCTTTAAATACCAAAGTTCTGATCTTTTTCACTCCCTTAAGGTCAAATCTATGAACTCTTAAATGGGTTTTAGCAAATATTAGAAAGAACATAAAATTACATCTCCAAATTTATGGTCAACTCATCCTAGCAAAAGAAACAGCAGCAATTTGGGTCCTTTTGTAGACATTCAGATAAAATCGAAAAAATACAGAGAAAATTAGTATGGGACATGCAGAAAATCAAGAAGCAAGTCAACAAATTTTCCATATAAACAAAAAGAGAACCCCATTTGGGAATTTGACAGGAAAAAAGAACAGAAAGCACAACAATTACAAAAAGAGAGTAACTTTAACAAAATGATTCACGAGACTGCTATAAAGAATCAACTTTTACTACTTATCTACACAAAGAAACAAGAAAAACGTGATATTGGTGAGTACCCAGAAAAGAATAAGACTATAAAAATGCATATATATACTTGTGTTTAAAGCAAAAAAAAAAAAAAAGTACCTGGGGTTGAAGGTCTAGGTGAGTAGCTGGGGATGGTGCTACTAGGATTTTGGTCACAAATCTCTGATCCAAAACAATTCCCCATCTATCTATTCCCACAAATTTTTCTTTCTCCTTATTATCTTCCACTAAACTACAAAATTGCTGCCATAATTTGCTTCACAAAGTTAAAAGGAGAAATCTTGATTTTATGAAGATGATGAGGAGATGAACTTTTTGTCTGAAAATAGCAAAGTTTAACTTTTTTGACAAATGGTGGAATATTTGGATAACTAATATTGTTGTTGAAATAAAGATACTACTATTACATTATATATGCGTCAAAATTTTTGCCTTTTTTTTAACTAACTGTAAACTGCTGGGATTTTACAGTGTCGTTTCCTGGAATAGCTAGTACTGTTTGTTCTGCAGTTTTGTGATGGTGGCAATAGCTTCAACCAGAAAGAGAGAACGTAGAGAAGGGACCAATCTGAATTGTGAAGACAAGTCAACGGCCGAGTTTATATAGTCATCATTTTTGGTGCGTCCCCATGTTCTTCCTCTCCATATTATAATTAAGGACTTTTTTTCTTTCTTATATTTCCTCCTACCCTTTTATCGCAGGGAAAAAGGTTAGATTTATCCCTTTACTTTCCAAAATTATCAATATTTATCCCTAATTTTACTATCGGTTCAAATACGTCCCTAACGTTAAAAAAGTAAATAGACATACCCCCAACTCTAACGGCTGTCCACTATGGCATGGGACCCGCTCAATAAAAAATACGAAAAAGGTCCAAAAATATTCCTAAACTATGGTATATAGCTCACTTTTGTCCTCCGTTAGTAAACTGGGCCAAAAATATCCTTCCCGTTAGCACAATGTGCTACTAATGTCCTTCAACCTAACAGCCCTCCACACAAGCCATTTTAATCCTACATGGCATCCACGTAGCTATGACATGACAGCCACATAAGCGGGCAACCTTCTAAACCCGCTCAGAAACACATTTCCAAACAAAGATCTGGCTGTAACCCCACCTCCATACCCCATTTCATAACAAAACCCCAATTTCTTCCTAGACCCAATTTTCCTTCAAAATTTCTACTCCAATTTCTGCTCAAATTTCCATATTTATGCTCAAATCTCCAGATTTCTGCTCAATGTCTGATTTATCTGTGAACGCGTACGAAATTCAATATGCAAAGAGGTGTCATTGCGCTATATTTGATAGCTTGGTCAGATGCCAATGCTGGGAGAAGGTTCTACAAATGTCCAAGATCCAAGGTTAGTTTCGAATTTATTTTATTTTTGGTCGATTTATAGGATTCATCTTCTTTTATCGAGTTAGGTCGTTCTTGATTTTTATTGTTTATGTACAAAACCAGAACTGCTATAAATTCTAATAATGGTGTAGGTTACTTCTTGCGGGTAGTTTGAATGGATTGACGAAGAGCTCCCTCGTCGAGCGGTAATAGTGATCAAAGATTTAAAAACTAAATTTGATGCTGCTAAGGTTGAGAGGAACAATTTGAGGAATAAAGTTTACCTCATGGAACAAGCTACGATGGTTCAAAGGGGCTCTAAGAACTTGTTTGATGAAATGGAAGATGTTATGACGGTTGAAAGGCATACTCTGAAGATGAAACTTGACGAAATGGAGCAATTTCAACTTATAGAAGCTGAAAAAGCTAGTAAGTTAGAGGTCAAAGTGAAGAAGATGAGAAATATCATTTTGGTTTCATGGGCTTTATTATTTGCTTTGGTTGTCGTAGGGATGATGAAGTGAATGTATGTTGTTTTAATATGTTGTTGTAGTATTTTGGTTTAATTAACGGTTGATGAAGTTAATCTATGTATGTTTAGTATGTTGTAGTATGTTTCCAACTCTTCAAAGTGATGGTATCAATGTTTCTTTTTCAACCATTTGTGGGACAGAACTAGAATGCAGGTTATTCTTCTGTTACTTCAAGATCTTGTTCTTATTTTATGCTCTAGTATGACTGCAGTAGCATTATGGTCAGAATGCAAGAGGCTTCTTGTTGTTGTTTTATTTGGACAATGATAATTGCTTGTTGTTGACTATAGTAAACCTACTGACTAGTAATAAGCAGGCCTAGAAAAGTAAAAGGTCAACTGAAGAATTTATCAAGAAAGATTTGAAGTTCACATTATGTCAAATTTGGGGAACCCTTACCCTCAGGAATGTCACAAGCCACAATAGCTATTTCTGCTATGATCCATAGGATGAAATTTGGCACCTTTGGATACTCTTTTCTACAATGCTCCGCTAAATGCTTCCCTGTAACAAAGCTAGGGGTGCATATGAATCTATTTTAGTGCCAAGACCACTAAACTTTCAAATTTTGCAAAAAACAAATACTGCTATAATATTAAACTATCTAGATTTGCAAAAAAAAATACTGCTGTAAACAACAGTCCAAAACTTTCTAGATTTACAAAAAAATACTGTTGTAAACAACAGTCTAGATTTACAAAAAAACACTATCCAAACTGTCCAGATTTGCAAAACAATGATGTAAACAAATAACTGTCCAAATTTACTGAACAACAGTGTCAAAACAGCTAAAACAAAACAACTAAACTGCTGTAAAATATTAGTACTGCTGTAATATTAAAATATCAGTACTGCTGCTACAAAACAACACTATCCAACCATAAAATCATGTTTAAAAAATAACTACTGAACCAAATAGCACTGCTGTAAACAACAGTCCAAAATTGTCTAGATTTACAAAAAACTGTCCAAATTGTCCAGATTTATAACTCACTGCTGTAAGCAAAAAACTGTCCAAACTCACCAATAGATTTGCAAAACACTATTGTAAAAAAAAATTATCCAAATTTGCAGAAAAAACACTGTAAAAACAATGAAACAAAACAACTAAACTGCTGTAATATTAAAATACAGTACTGCTGCTACAAAACAACACTGTCCAGCCATCAAAATATGTTTACAAAATAACTATTGAACTAAACAACACTGCTGTAATATTACAATACAAACCAAAACATCAAAACAAAAGGGTTCTGTGAGTTCCCAGAATTGCAACTACATACAATAACCAAGATTCCTAGATTTGTGAGTTACCATTAAGTTTCCTACACTTCAATTTCCCATCTTTCTTTTGTCTTGCCACTTCCAATTGATTTCCAATAAGAGTTTTTTTGCCTTTCCAAGTGAGCTTAGTAGGTGAGTAAGGAAGATCAGTGGGATAACTGACACTGGTATGATCTCCTCTAAAAGAGATGACTCTTGTTCCTTCTGAGGTCAATTATTGCTGCCTCATCAGTAGTTGTGTTTGATCTTTAGAAATAATCTTAGGCACTAAAGCAGTGTCTCTTTCATACTCACTACCATCACCAAAGGGTTCTATTTGTTGTCATGGAGCTCTTGGTGTAGGCATGAATACAAATTCACTTTCATGTTCACCTTCTTGTGTTGGTTGAGTTGGTTGAGGGGCTGAACAACTAACATCCTCAACATTTCCTTCAGCACCAACCTATTAGAATGAAAAACTTTCTATTAAAATAACTGCGATATGCTATAAGAACAAAGATAAGTTAAGAAGCAAGTACCTTGCATGTCCTTGAATTGTGGTCCAGTTCACCACAAATACTGCATGTCATTCTAGTTCCCCTTCTTGATGCAGCTCAATCTCCATGTCTCTTGTTAGCCTCATCCGTCTCCCTATTTCTTTTGATTTTTGGCCTTCCAACAGTTTTGGCAAGTGGAGGAGGGTCCATAGCATGTTCTGGTAATACTTTCCAAAACTTTTCACCTCTAACAGGCATCAACTTGGCCCTATATGTCATCAAATAAGCTTCCTTGTTGTGCCACCAACTAATTTCAGTCATTGGATCCTCTCTCTTGTATTTTAGTGCCCTGATGGTATGAGGGCATGAGATGCCAGTCAACTACCAAGATCTACAAGTGTATTTTTTCTCCACTAGGTTCATGGTATGTCTATCACTACCCTCAGAAACCTCAAAGCCAGTTTCACTATTGAAATGAACAGTACATAAGTTGGCTACCTTCAAATAAGCAGCATACAACTTCATGCATTTAGGACTAAACTTACCTCCCCATGTTCTAGCTTCGTCTTCCTTCTCTCTCAACCTGTTTATGACCTTGTTTCTAATATCCTCAAGCATCTTCAGGATAGGCTTGCCTCTTGCTTCTAAGATCAAAGAGTTGAAGGACTCTGTAAACTTATTGTCCACCATTTGATTTTTGCCCAATGTATTAAAGTAGGACCTACACCAATTCTGTAGTAGATACCTAAGCAACTCCTTGGCAGCATCAACAGACAATTCACCAAGACTCTTTAGTTGATCTTTAAAGTCCTCTTCATAAGTGCTCCAAGCAGACCACCATAGGTATTTCTTCATCCCTCCTGAAATTCCGATCCTCTTACTCCAGTTGACTTCAATATGGCTCACACAAAACCTATGATTTGAGAGAGGGAGGACAATTCTTACTGCTTCCAACAGACCCTACACATGTAAATTTAAAACAAATTAACTATATAATAACTTAATTATGACTGGAAATAGTCAATTAAGCAAAATCATAAGTTGTACCTTTTGCATATCAGACATAAAGGTAATACTGGTTCCATCTTTCAGATTCAATGAGTGTTTCAGCAGCTCCAGAAACCATGTCCATGTCAAGGTGTTTTCCTTGTCAACTACAGCCTAAGCCAAGGGATAGAAATGATTCTGACAATCTTGTGCAACATCCACCAATAATTGCCCCTTGCAATGACCCTTTAAGAAAGTTCCATCTAGTCCAATGAATGGTCTCAACCCTTCTTTAAACCCCAACTTCATTGCATTAAAGCATATGTACATTCTAAGAAATCTTCTTTTACCTTCAGCCACGACATCTTTTGATAAATTTATAACCACATCACTACCAGGATTGCTCTCCCTAATCTCATTTGTATATGCTTCTAATCTGTTATAGTCATCTAAAAAGCTTCCTTGCAATTGCTGAAGTGCCATTCTCTTAGCCCTTTTCAATGTGGAGTTATGTACATTTAATGAAAATTGATTTTTCAAATCTAGTTTCATATCCTTTATCTTGTACTTAGGGTTATTCTGCACCTTACTCCTGAAATATTCAGCTAAAGTTTTTTGTTTTGGCTTTAGGATTCTCAAATGCATCTTCACAGTTGTGCTCTCTCTTCAATGTTTTAATCTTAAAGCCAGGACCCTTCTTATCTTCAGAGATGATGCATACGAAAGGGCAGCCTACTACACATCTATACCTTACTCCGATTTTATCACTTTTTCTAAGCTTCAAAGGTTTAGAATTTGCAATAGCATAGAAGTTCATGACTTTTTTGACCTCTTCCAAGTTCTTAAATGTCATAGACTTATCAAGCTCTTTGTAGTGACTAAGCTTATCATTAACGTCTTTACCCTTTTGCATCTTAAGTGACTTTAATTCTTCAAAATCATATCCACCTGCATTTGAACCATAATCTGAACTTTTATCACTATCTGATTCACAATCAGTACTTAATTCACACTGATATTGACCTTAAATTGGCTCTTCGTGGTCTCCCATATTGAAATATCTATAGTAGAGACACAGAAGAAAAAATAGAGGGACCACATGAATAATTTAACAACTTTGACAATAAAATATTAAACATAAAATAAATTACTGCGTATAATACAGTGGAAAGAATAAAGCACACACTTTAAGAGAAGAAAAACAGTCAGCACACACTTTTAAGAGTAGCACAGACGGTCTTAAAGATTTAAAAATATTTTGAATATTTTGAATGGATTGACGAAGAGCTCCCTCGTCGAGCGGTGATGGTGATCAAAGATTTAAAAACTAAACTTGATACTGCTAAGGTTGAGAGGAAAAATTTGTGGAATATAGTTTACCTCATGGAACAAGCTACGATTGTTCAATAGGGGCTCTAAGAACGTTTTTGATGAAATGGAAGATGTTATGATGGTTAAAAGGCATACTTTGAAGATGAAACTTGACGAAATAGAGCAATTTCAACTTATGGAAGCTGAAAAAGCTAGTAAGTTAGAGGTCAAAGTGAAGAAGATGAGAAATATCATTTTGGTTTTATGGGCTTTATTATTTGTTTTGGTTGTCATAGGGATGATGAAGTGAATGTATATTGTTTTAATATGTTGTTGTAGTATTTTGGTTAAATTATAGGGTTGATGAAGTTAATCTATGTATGTTTAGTATATTGTAGTATGTTTCCAACTCTTCAAAGTGATGGTATCAATGTTTCTTCTTCAACCATTTGTGGGACAAAACTAGAATGCAGGTTATTCTTCTGTTACTTCAAGATCTTGTTCTTATTTTATGTTCTAGTATGACTGCAGTAGCATTATGGTTAGAATGCAGGAGGCTTCTTGTTGTTGTTTTATTTGGACAATGATAATTGATTGTTGTTGACTATAGTAAACCTACTGACTAGTAATAAGCAGGTTAAGAAAAGTAAAAGGCCAACTGAAGAATTTGTATCAAGAAAGATTTGAAGTTCACATTATGTCAAATTTGGGGAGCCCCTTACTCTCAGGAATGTCACAAGCCACAATAGCTATTTCTGCTATGATCCATAAGATAAAATTTGGCACCTTTGGGGTACTCTTTTCTACAATGCTCCGCTAAATGCTTCCCTGTAACAAAGCTAGGGGTGCATATAAATCTATTTTAGTGCCAAGACCACTAAACTGTCAAATTTTATAAAACAAATACTACTGTAAACAACAGTCCAAAACTGTCTAGATTTACAAACAAATACTGTCCAAACTGTCCAGATTTTGCAATGTTGTGAACAATAGTCCAGATTTGCAAAACAATGTTGTAAACAAAAAATGTCCAAATTTGCAGAAAAAACACTGTCAAAACAGCTAAAACAAAACAACTAAACTGCTATAAAATATC